TCTACAACAGAGTATTGGCTGTTTTGAAAACCTAGGGTAAGTGGGATTATCATGTCCTTTGTATATTTGAATGCTTTCTAAATGTTACATTAGAACTATGAATAATTTTAATAACAAAAAGCTAGTTCACCTTCATATTCAGTGTATTTCAGTGTGGACACTCCAGGGACACCTGATCGCTGTAGGGTTCCCAGCCCAGAATGCAGGACAGAATTGTCCACTCAAGTTGCCAGAGGGTCTGTAGGACCCTTATTAGAAAGGTCCTGGAAGCAATGATTCTGACGATCTTGTCTCTTCCAAAACACTCAGAACCACAGCCTCAGGTTTTTATCAGTCCCATCTACAGTGATGAAGAGATACTGGAAACCAAGCCCTAAGACTCCTTTTCTCAGGTCCAGTGGTGTAACAGGGCAACTGGCAGGTCCACCTCCTCATCTCTGTGAACCCCGGCGTGCTCTGAGGAATGAGGCTTGACGCAGTCTAATTAATTGTTGGGGAAGCTGTGAGTCTTGTTGTCCAGAAAGTCGATGTAAAATAGCCTGCTCAATTCAGAAGCGATTTACACTCATGACATCTGCCCCCTTCTTAGCGCTCCTGGAATTTTCCTCACCATTTTCTATGTAATAGCAAAATGATTTGCTTAACGTATGCTAATACTCTCTGAGGGCAGGGATTGGATCTTCATCTTTATATGTGATGTGTCTAGCTGAGTGTCTAGCATAAAGCAAGCTTATTAAATAAATGCTTTTCACAGAACTGGTGCATTTACATACAAAGATCTGTGGAGGTATTTATATTGCGTGTGTATTTACGTACTTATGTAAACTGTGTGAATATATGCATCTATGTAAATATGTAGGTGTGTATGCACATATATGTACACTGCACACACATGTGTATATAATATCGATTTTTTATTACCCATTCATTTATGTATATTCATTCCCTTTAACAGTTTCTAAGATGAGAGACCACAATGGTTTGACTGGTGTCCCTCCAAGTTCCCCATGTTAATACAGAATCACCCCAGTTGATGGCATTAAATGGTGAGGTCTTTGAGAGGCTATTATGTCGTAAGGGTGGAGAATTCATGAATAGCATCTGTTCCCTGATTAAAGGTACTCCAGGAATTTCTCATGCCCTTCCTACTTGTAAGGACACAGCAAGAAGATCCCGTATGTGAGCCAGGAAGTGGAATCTCATGGGACACCAAGTCTGCCAGTACCTTGTTCTTGGACTTTATAGGCTCCAGAACGATGAGAAATAAATGTCTCTTTATGAGTTAAGCATTTTGTCACAGCAGCCCAAGGAGACCAAGACTGATAGTAAGGAATTAGTCATACTTATAAAGGTTGTTTTGAATTCCAATTATAGAATTGTAAGACATTCTAGGTTATAGAACTATAAGACATGATTCTTTAACCCTGGCTGCAGATTAGACTCCCCTGAGCATTAAAAAAAATAAAAAGACCATTGCCCAGATGTTCTAATTTCTTGGGCTTGGGGAAGGATGCTGATATTGGTATTTGTAGCCTGTTATGGCCTTTGTACCCCCAAAACCTCATGCACTCATAGGTGAGGCTTTTTGGAGGTGGTTGGATGTAGGGTGGTGATACTGGGATTAAGGGGTGTATGATAACAAAATTGGTTTAGCACAGTTGTGGATATGAGTAATTGGAAGCCCTACTCCAGGTGTGAGTGGCATCAACAGATAGGAATGTTGCCTGAATGGAATATAAAGGGACAGAAAAGATGCCCGGTGTACTGCTTACTGCCTTCTGCCTGCCCTGCCATGGACTGTTTCTCTTCTGCCATGAGCCTCTGCCATGCCACCCTGCTCTGGAGCCAGTTGACTATGGACTGAAACTTCTACAAATCATGAGTTAAAACATACCTTTCCTCCTTTAATTTTATCCCAGCAATGAGAAAGTAGGTAAGACATAGAACTTTCCTGATGATTCAGATGTCACATCAGGCTTAGAATCTACTGCCTTGAATTAACTGGATTAGTAATCATCACTGGAGAAGAGGGTGCTCCTCCCAAGACCCTGGACAACAGAAAGCTGTGGCGTCAGGAGGAAGGTCGTACACTTCCGAACTGCCCTCAGGTGAAGGCTGATAGGAGGTTGCCTTCTCTGAGGACCTCTTCGTGATTATTGTAGATACTTCTCCACTGTGCCAAGAGGAGAAGGAAATAGTGCCAGAAACTAGAGTCCTAGCCTAGCACTCCTCAAACTTTAATGTATCCTAGAGGCATTGGGGGTGTTTGTAAAATACAGCTTCTGATTCAGCAGCAGGGGTGGGCTCTGGGCTCCTAGGGTTCTGTGTTTCTAACAGGCCTCTAGATGGTGCTGTTGCTGATGTACTGTCTATGTTCAGAGTGACAAAATCCCATGGGTCAAGAAACACTAGGCAGGAAACCATGGTGGCTGAGAGTAGCGTGTGAATATGTGAGAGTGGCTTGCTTTTCATTTGTGTAGTGCCGGTGTGTACGTGTTTCTTTGTGTGTGTGTGTGTGTGTGTGTGTGTGTGTGTGTGTGTGTTGGAGGCTATTGTGATTTTGATGTTCCCTTTTGATTTCAGGATGGGTCAGCAGCAATCCCATGTAGATTGGGGACCTGAGGCTGCGTAAGAGGAACCAGGAAAGATGAGTTTAGTTTTGATGGAGACGAGGGGAGGAAAAGGTGCTTTGACATCTATAGCAGAAGTGCTGTTTAGTAAGGCAGCTTCTTAGTGTAGGTGCGGGCAGATGGTAGGATCGTGGCTGCTCATCTGGAGAGCTAATATACGTGCAGCAAGGAAGGTCTGGCCTGTCCTGTAGTCTCCGTGTTGTCAGCTTCGTATCTGGTGTCACCCCAAAGCTAAAATCACCAAATTACCCTTTGGAAAGCTTGATAAGAAGCCAATGCCAAAAGGACAATCATCTGGGTAAAAACAAAAAAATTACCTAAAATCTTAGTCAAGAGGAGAGACCTCACCTCTCTCTAAGGGAGGTCAGTAGCATAGGGTCAAACCAATAAAAACATACAAAGAGACACCAAGGGGCAGGAAGTCTCTGGTACAAAGCTAGACAGAGGCTCAAAGCAAATATTGCAGTCATCGTCAGTCATCTCACCTGGACCCCAAGGAGGAATGCAGATCTGGGAATGAGGCCTGCAGTCGTAGATTGATTGGTGGATCTGACATACATCCACGTTCAAGTTATATCTGGTATTTCTGAATGGAACTTTATTTGAAGAGAAGTCTTTGCAGTTGCAATTAAATGACAAATGTCTTTATAAGACACAAGAGAGTCTTGAGATTGGGAGAATAGCGGATGACAGGGCATAGAGGAGAAGGGTGTGAAGACTGGGGTGACATAGGCTGGAGCCAAGGCATGTCTGGAGCCCCAGGAGCTGGAGGACGTAGGAAGATTCTCTGCCAGAGCCTTCAGAGGGAGCAGGGTCCTGGCAACTGGTGTCTGGCTTGAACTTTTCACCTCTAGAACTGTGAGAGCCATCTCAATGGTGGGAATTTGTTACAGCACCTCTGGGACAGGGACACACAGACCTTCCTGTTTATCCCATGGCACAACCTCTAGTTCACATGCATTGTGGTGAAACTGCTGCTTGCTACACTTTACTTGGATGATAATGCTGGTCTGAGAATTGATCCCCTTGCTTGAGGAGCTGCAAGTGATTCAGCTCACTCCATCTGACACCAGCCCTGCCTCTCTTCCTCGTACTTCCCCCACTTCCAACAGAAGTGGGCTCAGCAGAGGAGTCCTGGATTTGCAGTCAGACTTGAATTCCATCTGGACATTCTATGTCAACCCAGACAAGTCATTTGGAGGAGGAAGCGGAGGCGCAGAGAAGCTAGGGCTGCCTGCTGTCTAGCCCTGTGGTACGGACCAAGGGGAAAAGGGACCACAGCCCGTGGCACAGAGATGGTGCCTGATGAGGTCGATCTTGGGTCAGGTGAGGAGGCCACCTGTGGTCTGTATCCAAGAGATCCCTCAATGGCAAGGGCTCCAGCTTCTCATCCAACGAGCCTCACATTTCCCAGCTCTGACAGCTGTGGGCGCCCAGGGCAGTCACGATGCTGGGGCTGTGGTGACACTTGCTGCTCCCCCTCTGTCATTTTGGACTTCAGGGATGCACCGAAGCCCACTTGTGAGATAAAACCATTGCCTGCTATCCTGCCGTACCCCAGGGTCCTTCTAAGACCTAGGGTCACCTAGCAACCAGACATCCTTCTGTCACCTCCAGGCCGGATGGTGCTCTCCATAGAGCTGAATAACATTTCAAGTCCCCACCAGATCAGCTAACATTCCAGTACCCTACAGCTGTGCTGCAATGGGTCAGGAATGGAACTAGGTCTCCCTCGCTATGAAACTTGCGTTCTTTCCAGCGTATTCACTCGCTTCTCATTTCACACCAGAGGAGAATGCCCGCGGTACTTAACCAAATGGCAAAGTAAAGAAAGCAAATGAATAGGTAAATAGATCCATTTTAGAGTGTTTTTTTTTTTTTTTTTTCATTCCAAGTTCTTAAACCTCTGAGGACTGCTTCTTTCTATTGTGTTCATAGACATGGAGTATGGATGGATGTTTTCTTGAATCAGCTACACATTTGAGTAATCTAAGCAAATCACGTCACTCATTCTCATACCCATCAAGAGAGGCTTGGACTACAGTCTTTGCTGCACCTTCACAGAAATGGGTGGGAAGTGACTTGGGTATTTCTAGGAGCCCTTCTGCGTTTTTAGTGTTGGAGCATTTTGTCCCTGCTCCAGCCACACACACACACGGGGCCAGAACAAGCGCTCTGTCCACAGAAAATGCCTTTACTGGAAAAGGAGTGGTCTGAAGGCCCAAGCCCACACCCTCAGCCCTGACCTCCTGGGAAATTCCTGTCCCATCGGGAACAGTGGTGCCATTCCTTGGCGGATGCTACAGGCACTGGCTCCAGTCCCCACTCGGCGAAGGGAGTTGGGGCATGCAGTGATGTCCCCGTACTTACTGCCTATTCATAGTCCTCGGTGCCCGGGACATAACAGGGATCTTCAGCTCAGCCTGTGGAAACAAAAGCAAACTTTACTGGACCTCCTTACGCATCACGTTCTAATTCTGTTGAACATGCTCCCGTTGCTTCTTAAAATTAGATGCAGGTGCTGTCTTTAGAGGAAATGATAGGGAGAGAATCAATCCAGGTCAATAATTGGTTTATTTCTGGAGCAGGGTGGAGGAAGGGATATTTTTCCCTGACATGCTGTCCTCTTTCTGTCAGCATTCATCCCATCTGCCCTAGGGAGCTGAGCACACACACACTGCGCCTGCTTTTCCCTGGCGTGCAATTGCCTGCTCCCCTGGGCGCTGGGGGCACATTAGCCCAGGCTCGGCTGGCTCTGCTCCGGAGTCCACAGGCTTGCCGGAGCGTGCGGGAGAAGGGACGCTTTTCATTTCTAAGTGTGACTTTCCTGTGAAAGTTATATTTGTATGCCGCCTCACATAGGCCGCAGCGCTCTACTTGAGCCCTGACTCGTCAGCACAGAAAAGATCCTTAGTCCCATTTACCATATACATTGGCAGCAGAGACCCTGGGAGGAGTCAGGAAGGGCTTTACGTCAATGATCACATTCAATCTGCACAAAAAGACCCAGGGAAGAATCAAAGATATTTCCCTCTGTGTCGGTTTGCGGGGGGGGGTCCAGCAACCAACAGATGGCACCCTTACATGGGGTAATTGGAGAAGAGTTTTATACAGAGAACCTTTAAAAGTTATGGGCAAGGTGGAGGAATCCACAAAGCCAGCAAGATACTTGGGGATGGTAGGAAAGGGGTGTATGGGGGTCCAGAGGTGGTAGTAGTCACTGGGATGCAGAGACAGGGTTGAGTGGAAGAGAGGTGTGGCATCTGCTGAGGTGGCTTCAGGGAGGGAGCTGTAGTGGCTGGAATAAAAGTCCCTGCTGCATGCTCCTCTTGGCCTTGATCTCCTCGTGCTGTCATCCATTGGCCAAACTCAGTGAGAAGCCCCGGGGTGAGGAGCTATTGATGTGGTTTACATCTATCAGCATTCTGGGGCTCCCAGCTGGGTGTAGCAGGGTACAGAGTGGATTTCACAAGTACAGAATGAGGTCCGGGAAGGTTAAATTGTGTGCTCAAGATCACCCAGCTGCTATGAAAGCCCAGTCTAGAAATTCAATTTTCTAACGCATCAACATATTGTACCTCACCGAGCCTGACACACGTCTGGTAAATTCCTCCACCCATGTAGCCATCCATTCGTCCATCTACCTCCCCAGCACCATTTATCTGAAATTTTGTAGAAATATGATACCCAAGGAGACCCAGTTCCTGCACTCAGGGTGCTCCTAAAATTAAAGAGAGTGTGTTCTGTCATCCTCTGTGATAGCTCTTATCAAAGTGCTTTACAAAAACAAATGCAACTGAAATAAAGCACAACAAATCCTAACACTGCCTCAGAGAGCCAGGAAATCTTCACCAGGAGCCAGAGCCTGAGCTGAGGCTTGCTGAACAAGACAGAGCCTTCTAGGCGCAGAGGTAAGGAGAGTGGCCCGGGAGAGTGAGGCATCCTGTGCAGAGGTGTCCAGATGTTACAGTGCATTGTGTGATGCACACAGCTCTGTGTATCGGTGGTACATGGACAAGAATTTAGGAGGGGTCATTGGACGGTGACTGTTAAGGTTCACACATGCCTGGGAATGGGATTTGGACTTGAGCTATGTGATCTTGTACCAGAACTGCAGCAAAATTACTAAGGAACTTGGACTGAGCTCCAGGTCCTCTGACCCCTTGTGTTTTACCCCATAGCACCTGCCTGCCTCTTATGCCTCTAGGTCGACTGTAGACAACTGGTAAATGTTCATTCATTGATGGCCTTCTGTGGGCCATGTAGAGTGTCCAGTTCTTGGCCTCCTTTCAGACTCATCTCCTCCACTGCACTGAAGAGAACTTGAACCTTTCTCACTGTGATATAAATAATATGCATCAAATCCTGCAAGAGTCCTTGCTGAGAAGAGTTCAGAATCCTCTGTCTAGTCCCAGGCTGCCATTAACTAGCTGTGTGGCCTTGGAGGAGCACTTGGTCTCTCCTCATTTATGATAGCATCACTATCTTTCTCCTAAAGTATGAAATATGAAATAAGCTGATGCATATGAAAATGTCTTCCAAGTCTAACTTATTATGAAATATGGTCGCACAATTCATTGTATAATGAAGTTGGCAAGTTTAACATCACTCATGCCATATTTGGGCATGTAGGATTATAAATTCGAATTTTTGGATTTAAGCTGTTTGTAATTTACAGGGATTGAATTGCCTAAGTGTGGTTATAGGGGACAAACCACCTTCCCTCAAGGGTATCTGCTACTTTAAGGCATTTGCTTATATAGCCCCTTCATTCCTTTGGAAGTTTGAAGAATCTTGAAATGGGATAAAATAAGCTGATGTTCATGGTGGACTCCCTACGTGGCTGGCGCTTGATCGGCTCTCTGCGCAGAGCGAGGGGCCGGGAGATGCGGGACAGTGCATTCTAAGTCTCACCGTCTGGGACCAGCAAGGTGGGAAGCCTCCCCCAGCCCCTGCCATTCACCATGTTGCTTTGAACAAACCACTGGAGCTCTCTGGACCTCATTCTTCATTTGATTAATAGGCAAGTTGGGTCACATAAGTCCCTTCCAGCTCTAAGATTCCATGCAATTGTTCCCTTTGAAAACACTATAATCCATACATATTTGGTGACAAAAATGGCTCTAAAAGTTATTTGTACTTATTATGTTTCTTGCATTTTATTATCGTATCCAATAAAACTCCTTGCAGAGCAAAACTGCAGAAGTCTCTTCCAAATAGATGACTCAGCAGAATGGGGAAGGGGCTAAGGAGAAACCCTTCTTCTACTTGTACGTAAGCCTCTGTAGATTGTCCGATCTTTAACATCAGTGCTTGTACTTTAAAATTATAATAAGACTTTAAAAAGATGTTTTCTTGGCAACTTTCTGAGAGATTTGAGTAATCTATTTGTAAAATGAGCTTTAGAATATTTTAAGGAGAGGCCAAACTTTTCTGGTATTATAAAAAGGTCTCAGTGACACACAGAGGTCTAAGTCAGCAAGGTGGGATCCTAAAGAAGGCAGAATGGATGGTGTCCCAAAGGCCACAGCTCTCTGCACTGCCCAGAGCCGCCCAGACCTTTCTGAGAGCGGACACTCTTATCTGATCTTAGCTGTTGGGTGAAGGATGTGGTGAGAAGAGTGAGTCAGTGAGAAAGAGTTTCATGACCACAGGTTTCACAAAGACAAACATAGTATAGAAAAGACCAGGCCCTTCCCTTCCTGACTTCCTGGACTTTTTTCAAAGAGAAGGGAATAGACGTTGTCACTTTTTGTATTTGCCTGGTACAAAAATTCCATAGCATTTGTATTGTCACCTGTATGGTATACAAAACTAAGTGACCATCACATACATGTCATCAGCTGGTATTTCAAACAGTGACACTTTTTAGTTGTTTTGTGCAACTGTTGGCTTGTTCTGACCCCTGTTTCCTTACCTGGGAAATGGGGGAGCACAGTAGTGATCCTCTGCGACTCTTTTGAGTTTGCATGAAAACTCAGATCCTGCCTAAGGCACAGGGACATGGTGATTAACATGAACTTGACGCTTAACTCAGTACTTTGTAACTTCTAGGGTTGTGTTTCCAGAAATGAGAGGTGTAGACCCCAAGTTCATAGCCACTGACTGCATAATCCTAGGCTTCCCATCAGCCCTTTAGAATTAACGGAGAGCTTTACAATGTAGAGTGCCCTGGAAAATCCACCTCAGCTGTAAGGAGAAGCCCGGTTATGGTCATTGCTTGAATGCCCCAGGCATGTTAATGGCCAGAGAGGCCACAGAGAGTGGACAGCTGAACGTCAGTGCGTTCACATCTCCCAGCTTCATCTGCCCCACCCAGACCACAGATGCCTTTTCGCTGAGCACACGGATGTTTCCTCACTCTTGGGTAAAGTACCAAATCAACACACTCCCACCTGCCATGCTATCCCAGCCCATCCCCAACAGAAATCCAGGAACTTCTGCTGCTCATAAAGACCCCTGCCTCCAGTTAGAGTTATTTTGAGTTAATTTTAAGTAGAAAAAATTTTTTTGTCCAAATCTTCTACATCCAAATCTTCTACATCCAAATCTTCACACTGTGCATAAGAGTGGAAGAGATTTATTTTTATTGAGACCCAGCTTTTGCACATTTTTATCATACAGTATGATAACTCAATGCATGTATCCAACATGTAATGATTGAACCAGGGCCACATGTCCTCACATTTCCTCAGGTGTTCATCATCTCTATGTGTTGGGAACTTCTGTATGCTTCTTATGGGAAAAGTTTCTAATCACATCAAGTAGCAGTTTCTTAACTCTTATAGGAAACGAGAAGCTATAGTATAGTTTCTTATAATTTACAAAGTACAGTTAATCCAGGTATTCTGCAATTATTCATTGAGGATCCGTTATGTGTTGGGCATATACCAGACACTAGGAATTAGAAGAGCAAGTCCTCTTCCTTCGTGGCACATAGTATTGAGGGATCTTAATGGAGTGAGACTGAATATGAATTTAAACAACAGAGGGACAGAAGGCGTTGCTGGGACACAGAGGCTCACATGCCTGGAGTGGATCCACACTGCTTCCTAAAGAGTCAGCAGAGAGCTTCTGGCCAGATCCTCCACAGTTCCTGGAAGTGACCCCTAGGTTTGGTCTGATCATGAAGGGAGACATGGGACCTGCAGGCTGAGGAGCTGCCACAGCCCCAGGTCTGCAGATCATTGTCCAGGGACTTCAGGGTCTGTGTAGTATAAAGGAATATGCAATGTGTTCTTGCTTTGACCTGGAGATCTAGAGAAGCAAGGCTGCCCAGCAATGAGGAAATCCCCACACAGTCTTTCACTTTCGACAGGGATGAGGGAATGTATGGCGGTGTCTCTTCCTAGTCAGCCACATGGCTTTCCCAGTCAGAGACAAGTAACGCGGAGGTGCTGCCTGTCAGACCTGCTCACGGCAC